TTTTTTGTTTTTTAATTAAAAAATTTTTTTTCCTCTGAAATTGTAGGAAATGACGTTAAAATATATTTTAGAAAGTTAAAAAAGCTTTTTGGAAAAAAAAATTTTTTTTACGAAATTTTGGGGGTACCCCATTTTGCCACCCCTACCCCATTTGCCCCTCCCCCTCCCCTAAAGTTTCTTCTAAAGGCGACTACTACAAATTTTTTTGTTGCAGAAAGTAGTAAAGTTAAGCCAAGTATATTGGAGAACAGTGGAATGGAAAAATCAGAGACAAAAAGAAAAAGAAAAGATTAGAATAATAGGGATCATTGTTGAATGTATATATGTCAGTGAGTTACTTTTTAAAGAATATAAAAGTAGGAAAGTTGCGATTTAAATGCAAAAAATTCGAGTCAATAGAGGCCAATTCTTTGTACACGTATACACATTTATGGAACAGTGACCTCGTGCCGGAAAATAGATAGATACATTTCGGAGATCGGGAATCTCTGAAATAAGCAAAGAAAATAATGTGTATAGGAAAGTATTGATGGGAATACGGAAGTAATAAGGGATGTGTGAATTGAAAAGAATACTGTTAGAACATGTGTCTTGTGTACATTGAAATAGTTCTGTAGACTATTGGAAGTAGACTTCTTTTTTTTATACTTTCGCGGAAAAGTTATCAAGCCGAATTAAATTTTTCTGCAAACAGGTTTTTGAAATTGGTTTTTACGGTTCAAAGAATTCAAATTTATTTCCATCAATGGTGTTTTATTTTATCATTTAACTTTTCAGAAATTTTGAACTTTATGTTTAAATATTAATCATAACCATCAATCATTACCTTGAAATTCTGTAAACATTTTTATTTTTATTAAAATTTTTCAACAGTTAAACGAATACAAAACAAAAAAAGTTTTGGACGTTTTAAAAATTGTAATGTTTCAGTGGTTGGAAGTTGAAGCTTTACAGATATTATAATGAAATAAAACAAACTTAGCAGTGTTAAAATTTATAAATTTCTATGTAAGGAAATGCGAATGTTACGTGTTCAAGGCAAGAGAAATAGGTCAGAGTTTCAGACTTGAAATTAAACTTGTAATCCTCTATACATAAATTTGAATCATGTTAGAGCTAATTTAATTGAAATGTATTTGCTACCTAAATAAATACATTATCGTAATTAAACGCGAGGGTTAAAAAAAATCTAAATTTCTCATGTAGAGCATAAATTACGCTTACACTGATTATAATGAAGTAATCCTGACTATAAATTAATAAAAATATTCATTCTAAAATAAATAATTCAAGAACAATAATTTCATTTTTATTGAATCATAATTTTAGACTGTTAGTAAATGATGTCGGAGATAAAAAAAAAAAAACAAAAATGAGTGAGGAATTGAAAAGTCAAAGATGAATATAAAATTTTCAGACAATACTTTGTCATAATAAATAATTCATGTAAAATATGATATTGAATTTTTCCGTTGAAATATTTTCAGATTGCTATTAATTAAATATTTATAGAGGTATGAATAAAATATTTAGTCGGTAAAATGGTAATTCATCACATTTATAACTCCTGTCTATCTCTATACAATTATTTTTATTTTAAAAAAATATACCCCTTCGTCAAACGATAACTTCACTGAATTTAATCTTAAGTTTTTGAATATAATAGATATGTATATACACCATAGAAGTTTATTGTGTGAATAAAGTCTTCAGAAAGTATATTAAGCGATCCGTCATTCTGTAAATAAATTACGTGGAACTTTCTTCTTCTACTACTACAACTACTGCAATACTTAAACTGGGCTATACTTCTTCTTGTTCAGATTAACACTCTTACTTAAACTTTTACTCTACTGCTACAACTACTATTACTAATACTATTATTGTTATTGCTACAACTGCTAAAACTCATACATCATTTAGTTGATCACGCGTCACCACTTCCGGCAACGGTGTCACTTCCACGAAGTTGCAGTACACTTGCGCTCTATAGTCGAGTGATTTTTTTTATCGCACATTGCACTTTCCTTACACGCGTTGTTATTGCGCCGACTTATTGTATTATGTGGTTTATCGTTCGAACTTTAAGTTTGAGTTTGAGTAGGTATTACTTCTATCCTATGCTCTATATGCATTAAATCAATATTTGATATACTCACACGTGTCGCCAGCGCTGCTCTTTATTAACCTCTGATAGCGTCATTCTGTTATTTGTTTTTCTCTTCTTCACTGGAAAATATTGAAAAATATATACATTTATAATTTAATTAATTTCTCATTAAATTAAATAGAAGTATAATAAATTATTAAAAATTCATTCAACTAAATTAATCAAATAGTTCCCGTCGGATCAAACGAATTTTCCGCGTAAACCTATTCAATGAATTTCATTGAAACCTATTCATATTGAAGGCAACAAAGGAATTCTTTCTTAATTAATTAATTCAATAAAACAAGCCTGAATAGAGTCATTTCTTTGATGTCAAACAAATTGATATAAATTAAATACGTTTTTTTTAATAGTATATTACACTACAAGGGCAGAAAGTTTGAGATTCCTGCACTGCGCGCCATGATGCCAGAGGCGAAGCCGAGGGCATCACAGCGCGCAGTTCAGGGCTCTCAAACTTTCTGCGCGTTTAGTGTATACTATTTTTCTTGCTATCTGGTCGAAAGTACGGAAAAATGACAAGTGTGTACTAAAGATATAGATGCCTGCCCCGACATTTGCGGCACGAGCGAAGCGAGTGCTGCTGGTCGGGGGCAGGCATCAAATACATCTATAAATAAAGATATAGATTTTAATTAAAGAAATTGTACTTATATTAAAATCATGACTATTTATTCGTATCACAATTACAAAGTTTATTTTATAACAGCTGAGGTTACTTTATCAATTATAGCTTATATAGTAATAATCATTCATTAAAAGTAATTATTCATTGGAATATATTGCATGCATTATAACTAAACAGTAATGTTATAAAATATTGACTATTTATTTGTATTACAATTACAAAACTTATTTTAAAACAGCCAAGGTTACTTCATTTTTTATTATAGTGTATGTAGTCATTTTTATAGTAATATAGTAATAGTCATTTTAAAAATTTTTTTTTAATAATTATCAATTTGAATATTTTGCATGCATTATACCTTAAAAGTAATAATATTATAATGTTAAACCTGTTATAGTAAATTATATATTTTGCTCAGGAAGTTTATCATCAGAAATATAAAAGTTATTAATTATATTTCCGTGAAATGTACAGTTGTCGTATCTTATGTTTGGATTTTTGCTTGATAACGCTTCTATAGATTTAAATTTTTGTCGACTTGTTACAAAATTAGTTAATGTTGATGCCGATTTCACATTACTGTTTGCATTACGTATTTGCTCGACCTTCATTTTTTTCTCTGGAGGTTGATTTTCTTTGTCATGAGAAAAAACCGAGATTGGTGGTTTTTTTAAAAAATGACAAGGTTCAGCTGTTTCAACGTCAGAATTTATAATTATTTTTTCATTGTTTGCTGTGGTAAAGGAAGGTAACAATGATACTGGTTTTTCTGATTCAAATGAGTTGTCAATCGCCGCCAAAGTGTCATCATCTAAGCAAAAGTCATCAAACAAATTATCACAATCGGTTTCTGTTGATATAGATTCATGAGTTTGAACCGAACTTTTTGTTTTAGTCGAATTAGTTTCACTTGTAGATGGTTGCGGATTTGTATCTGATGGATGAGCAACTTTAGCTGTATGTGTTATTGTATCAAAGATTTTTTGTCTGTTCATTAAGGAGTTCTCAACATAAGCTGTAAATATATAGATATAAACATATTATTTAAAATACTTATAAAGCATTTATAATTATAATTTTTTTTAATAAATAAAAGTAATAAAAATTAGTACTAAAAAAATAGTAATAAATTATTACCAAAAAAGTAATAAAAATTACCTTCTGCTGTAGTAGATGATTTCCATCCTCCTAATTGTTTCAACATTGTTACACTTGCTCCAGAGTTTGATATATCAATGTAGCTGATGTCCTGCGTAAGCAGTGTCCTGTGTATTTTTGGGGATCAGTCAACTTCAAATATTCAGCAATAATTTTTGGGATTTGTCCTATTTTATTTCTCCCAATCACTTGTCGGCAGCATTTACCGTTTGAAAATTGCACAAAAAATCTCTCAGTCCCAAAATCTGAAGGCCTTAACGAAATATATTTTTTCACTTTTTCATAAAAAAGTTGTCCGACTAAAAATTTACGAGGTAGACCATTCTTTGAATCGTTTATGGAAACGAGGTATTTACCGTTAATTTCTTCAATATCAGTAACTTGAAGTTCTTTTAATTCGTCGCATCTGGTAGCTCCACAAATGCCAAAGATTAACACAACCTTAAAATATAAAAATAAAGATAACAATAAATTAATTAATTAAAGAATCAATACTATTTATACAAATTTTTATAAATACATACTTTATTGGCTAAATGAGTGTAGTCCGGTGCATTATTTATGAATGCCATAACCTCGTCCCACGTCAAGACAGCAGATTTCTTAGGCTTATGACCTTTGGTGTTATTTTTAACTAGACCCTTTAATTTATAAAACAGGGCCAGTTTTTCAATCCGGGATAAAATTTTATCCGAGATAAATGTACCGCCAATAAAATAAAAAAAAAAAAAAATAAATAACTCCGTGACGTGATATTGCTCTCAATTAGTTCTCCATGAATTTGGTCGTTTATTTAAATAAAAATAAATAAATATATCATAAAAATAATAATCTCTTATTGTGTCATTTAAATTATTTTAAATTAATTAACACAATTATAAATTAATAATAATAGATTAGCAGGAAGTTACAAGGATCTCCTTCAGGGTCATTCGTTTTCCTAATATTTATTTTATTTATTTATAATCAGGAAGTTGTCACAGTTGGAGGTAAATATTTCTGTGACATGTGACTAATGTTTATTTATTTTAATTCAAAATAAGTGACTGAATTCAAGGAGAATTACTCGTAGACAATATCACTGTGCTAAATTATTTATTTTTTTATCATAATGGCAGTACTTTTATCTCGGATAAAATTTTATCTCGGATTGAAAAACTGGCCCTTACTGACATCAATATTATCTCTGGCATTCAGCGTCGATTTTAACATAGAATGAATACTCCACAAAGTAGATGGACACAATCTTGTGGATAGACTTTTGAAATAAACAATTAAATTATTTTCCTCAGAATCAGATAAAGCACTTTTATTTTTTTGTTTCCATTTTTTGTAAGTATTATAGACTAGCGTATATTTATCAGCAGATTTCTTGGGTAAAGTGTCAGTTTGCACAATCAATTGTGCTTCCGCATCAAAGCCTCTGTTGAGTTCTTCTTCATCGGTTGACTCGTCAGATAATTGGTCATGCATTTTTTTACTTTTATTATAAAATTTTAATCACAATAATTTTTTGAATAGAATTTACCAATAAACATTAGCATTAACATATTGTAAACAAACTTTGAGGTTATACGAGTGAGAGTAAAAGTAGAGGTTGTGGATACGTGAATCGGGTCTTAGTGGTAGTATTGTAGAGGGAATTTCTCATGTATTGAGTGGCAGTGCACGAGACTAAGTTTTTACTCCCGCTCAACTAGATGGCGCGCTTACTGCTTGATCGAGGAATAAAAATGAATATTTCTGCCGCGATATCACAGCAGAAGCTACGTACTTTCGACCGAGGTAGTAAGAAAATAAAATATTTCACTAATGTCATTTTTTCAAAGTAAAATATTAAAAATAGTATATTACGACCCAAGGCCAGAAATTTGGATTTCCTGGCGTATTCTTGGCTACGCCTCGGCCATCATATCACATACGTCAGGGCATCCAACATTCTGGTCATGGGTTGTATACTATTTTTCTTGCTCTCCAGCCGAAAGTACGCAACCCCGTGGAAGGGATTTTGCAAAACCGAGGCGAAGCCGAGGTTTTGCCGGGGGTGAGGGGGGCGCCGCCCAACTTTTGTAAAGCCGAGGCGAAGCCGAGGTTTTACTGGTCGGGCGGGCATAATAAAAAAGTAAAAATTAATAAATAAAAGAAAAAATAAGTTATTTTAAAGTTTACTAACAAACGCTCCGATTAAGAGAGATAACATGCACAGAACTTGTCTCAAATATTTAAACTCGATTTAATAACAGAATTAATTTTTTTAAGTTGATTAAAAATTAGTTTTTAATTAGACAACTAAGAAAGATTGAAATTAAATTATTAGAAGCTTGTAGAGTACATGGGTTGTTTTATAAACATCGCTTTACTAGCTGTCAAAATATAAAAGAAAGCAAATAAAATCTACAAAACTTGTATATTTTATTTTTTAAAATTTTTATATAAATTATTTGTGCAGTATAATAATACTATTATTAAATACTATTATTAAATAATAATACTAGTATTACTAAATAGTTCATTAACAATAATCTAGTTGAAAATTATTTTTATTTATTTGACATTTTTTGGTTAGTTTATGCGCTGACATGTCACATATAGACGATGCTGTGACTGTTATATACAGTCGACACTTGCTCTATAAAGTCCGTTCTGTGCTGCCGGCCAGAAAATATACGTAGCGCGCATGCGTAGAGAAACTAGAGATCAGGCCATAAAAGTTGCTCTTCCTGGAGTAAAGTGCGTCCAGGATGAGCGTACTTTCGGCTAGGAGAGCAAGAAAAATTTGTTAATAAAATGAAATAGCATAAAATGTAAACTTTTGGTGAAGCATTTATACAAAATCCCGATAACAAGTAACTGGTAAAACATGACATAGCTACAATAAATCTAACAATCAGCTTAAATTCAAGTGTAAAATTTAAACATAACCACAAAACAACGACCGATACATCTATATACACAATAAATAGAGTAACGAGTATGCAAGAGAGCATTTCAAACTCATTGCCATGCTTATTTGCGGTTAAATTTACCATCGTGTGTTGCTTTCCACTACTTCTCATGATTAAAATTCCAATCGAAATTTCGTTCTACGCTATACTAGAAACTACTACCGTACTTGTATAATATGCAAAACATCCTCGTTTATTTTACATCGCAAAAGCACTCTCATCAAACTCTCGTTTCACTCATTACCAATCTTTTGTCCATTTGTTTATTATTACACTCCCCTTTTGCCCATGCATCCACATACATCTACATAACTATACGTTTTTTTCGCTTTTTCATCAACGCGCTCCTATATATAGAGGCTACACTGTAAAAATATCCACATCCACACATGCATTCATTGTCATGAACCATAACAAACAAAATTCGCTTAATTCAGTTGGAAATATTTAATTGAATAAAAAAAGCAACAATTGAAAATCAAATCGAATTCCGTGCGCTTTTTCGGCCCCAAAAAAAAATTTTACGAATTGGAAAAACGATTACAGTTTAATCGACGAGTGATTCACCAGTCCACTCATCTACGTTTAGTTTATCCAGTTGACTGGTCAGTTCCACTAAAATGGAAGTGACCGGTAGTTAGAAGAGAATGGTGACGATGATAGATAATAACAATGATGATAATGCTATTCGTAATGATAATGATAACGATAATGATAGAGACGGTGATGGGTTAAGGTGTGGTGTATCCGTAAATTACAGAAGGATAGGAAAACGCTGGGATAAGCACGTCCCAACTGTCAACCCTCTATCCAGTGTACGGTGATTTAGGTATTCCACAAACCGCTCGTCGTGATAGTTTATTCGACATTTGGTCTCTTGTTACCATTTAAACTTAAGTGTCACTAGTCAGTGGGTTCAGAAGCGGTACCAAATGAAGAAGTAACTCATGAGTAGTCAAAAATCATCTTAAACTTTTTCCCCAACTTTGTTTTCAGTTGGTGAACGGTCTCAATGGACCAAGGTATATCTGTGAGACGGAAGTAATGGAAGAAGTGGCTCTCGCAGCTGGTAACGGGGAGTTTGCATCTCCTGGGAATCACACCAGCAAAAACGCCAACGGCAACATCATCACCCTCACACTAAAGAATAACCACATCATCGTGGAGACGGAAGAACGCGCTGTGAGTATGCCGTGAAAAAGAAACTTTTTTATATTACTATATATATTTATATAAAAGTATATCTAGTGTAGTACTTATATAGCTATGTCTTATGCTTTACTCTTATTGTATAATATATATATATATATATATATTATAATCCCTTTTATATACTTTATTCTTCTTTGCTATTCCTGATACTTTTCGTTCTACTTTCACTCATTTTTCCAACCACCAATTTCATTCTCTCAAGGTTCTTTCCTTACCATTTTCCTTTATTTCTCCGACGACTTTTTCTTTAATTCTTCCTTACGCTGCTCTCCTATCTTTAGGTAACTCCTTTACCCTTTTTTCTCCCTTTATTACGTTTAGTTTTTTTATTTTTTTGAACAATGAACAGATGACAAGGCAGAAAAAAGTCAAAAGATGGTTAGGAAAAAGTAAGTCAGAGACGGGTGGGATGAGGAAAAGTCAGGAAAAGAGGAAGTGGAAAAAGCTAAATGGAGGATGAGAAAATGCTAAAAAGAGGAATGGGTGGATGTACGAGAAGATGTATAAAAGCTCTCTTGCAAGCGTATAAATTCAAACTGCGTCAACTTTCAGACACGCCTGAGTTTATAAAATGTTGTTTGAAAATAACTGAGCGAGCAAGTTGTTCCGACAAAAAATAACTCACCGACAACAATGCCCAAGTTTATTAAAATAAGTAATAACAACTTAATTTATGCGAATATCTATATATACTTATGTTGTATGATATTATAAATGAATATAAAGTTTGAGTGGAGTTAATAGGAAAACAAAAAGTAAATTTTATGATGAAACAAGTTAACGCTGTTGTAAGCTCATTAGTGTATGTACACGAGTACAATGGTCATGCATACTTGAGTACGATCGATAAAATCGTGCAGTTTCTCAGGTTACGGTAAAATATATACGAATTTAAATAAAATGAGTAGTTGAGTTACTTTGTTCCGCTTATCAGCTAAAACAGCCACTTGACACATGAAAATCTACACTCGACGTTACTCGAGCACGTGCAATTGAACTTTATTATATTTGCTAAATCTTTTTTTAGATTATTAATTCTCATTTTATTTTATATGGTTATTAATTGCGCAGCAATCTACTGTGAAGAATTATAAATTTGTACTGTAACATGAAATTATATTACGAATTACTCAAAAACACAATTGCTAGGTTATTTTGTTTTGTATAACTTTTTTTCTCAAGATAAATGCTCCACATTAAATTACGTCATAAAAATATGAACCGTATAGTTACATACACAGCATTATACGGTAAATTATTGTCTAAAATTTTTTACTACCTAAAAACACCTGTGATCCCCAAAAATTTTTTCCTACTTTTTTCAAGGTACTTCCCGGGGCTAAAATCAATTTTCTGCACTTCGTTTTTATTATATACAAACCACCGGAGTATCTACGCATAAATTCAAACTAAAAATTTTTGTTAGAAAGAAAAAAATTAGCGGTAACAGAAAATTTTGTTTGAATAAGTTATTGAAAAAATATTAATAAAACATAAAGGAGTTTTATTATTTTGCATAAGGCTTCGAAGTGAACGAAAATATAACCAGTGCATTAACAAACCCAGATTATAGCAATTATCTATTGTGTACCCAAAAGTTTAGATGCCATGAGCAAAATATAATTATTAGAATGACAATTAAGAAAGTTTGATTGCAAAATAACAGCCGAATATCATAACGAGAGAAGAGTAATGAATACGAAACAATCTGACAGTTGAATCAAGTGAATATTAAACACATGAAAGAGTAGTGCAGAGAGGTATAATTGTATACATAACACAGAAGCCAAGTAATCGAGTACTCATACTTTGATAAGTACACAAATAACAATTTTCGAGTCATGAAATCTATATTGTGTGAATGGAGTCGTTCCAATTCGTCAGTGATTTAACTTTGATAACCGGGAATTCTCATTCGCAATTATCCAAGTTTCACAGTTGTTGGAGATTGTTCTGAGGTTACCACCAGGCAATTCCATCTCCGCCTATCAACCTTGTTGTCATCGTCATCACAGAAGTCGTTGGCATATTCATAGTTATAGTCGTAATAGTAGTTATAGTTACAGTTTATAGTCCTACTCCCTGTAGTTCATCGGTAAGGCCGAAGTATGAGTAGTTATATGCGCTTCCTCTTCCTTTTCCTCTTCCTCTTTCTATTCGACTTCTTCTTCATCCTTTCAGACACAAGAATGCCCTCCGGGAGAAGCAGGATCATCTCTCCTGAGATTCGTGAACTTGGCATTTCAACCATCCAGTGTGACGCCGGCAGACCGGTTAAACTATTGAACATCGGAAGGGCGTGGATTGTGAGGACGTGATGCCGAACGACCGGGATGGCGTAAACCTGCCATACCTATCTCTAATACTTCACATTCACTATACATTATGTATTGAGATAATAGTAACCCTTTCACGGAAAATCATCAAAGGGAAATTCCGCTTCGTGATTTTAAATTGGTCTATTCACGATAATTTAACGCTTTCAAAGCTACTTACTTACCTCTTCAATATCCTCTTCCCGCTTACTACCAAAAATATTTACAACTAATCTAATTTATAAGTCGTACGATTTTTTTTTTTAGTATTAATATTTTAGGTTTTTTATTGAAGATCAAATGTTGTAAAAAAGTAATGTCATTTTCAGGTTGATTCATTTTATAAATAAAATACTGAAACTTTTAATGACAATTAAGCCGCCGAGTCCCTTCATGTATTGAAAAAATGGGTACACATTCGATGTATAGCGATGTACGTGTATAACTCACTAGTGGACTTCAATATTAAAATTTTTTTACGTGCTTAGTCACTTAAATCATTTTCAAAGAGCATTTTTAACAAATTCATAGGTCCGTATATTTGCGCTTGAATCAAGTTCTCCTATTATTGAAAAGTTGTACACTGTAAATCCAAGTGTTTTAAAAGTGACTACAAATGGGCATTTAACATGGGAAATTAAAACATATGGAAGTATTTTAAAAGTGATTACAATGCTTCAAGACAGGAACAAAGATAGATCAAAAGATTGATCTAAAAATACGACTATAATTACGGATACCATTAATTTCAACGCTTTCAATTACGGTTTGAAAAAATGAAGCTATTGTAAAGAGAATGTTCGTTATTTCAAAGAGCGTAGATGGTTTTAATGATAATGACGTGTAATTTTTTTGACAGTAAGAAATTAATATTTTCAAATGAAATATTTTAATATGGAATGTAATGAACGTGAAATTAATTAAATCGCGAAAGAATGTATAAAATCTAAAAAAGGGTAAATTAATTAATTTATTGCTCATTGAGTTGAAAGATTCCGCTTTTGAAGCTATACTTGTACTACATAAGTGAAATTTCTGACACAGAGAGTTCATAAGGTATATTACAAAGCAGTAGTTTTTAGTAAACTTCAATAAATGTTAAAAGCGTTGCAAGCATGTCAAAAGTTATTATGCATCTCTAAATCCCTTGAGAAAAGCGCAAACTGCTCGAAACACGTTTGCATAATATTCTTGTTGGCTTGTTGCCAAGCCACGGCACGTTTACTTCGAATATCGTATACACGACTATACATACTGATCTTGCAAATACTCCTACTTTGACAAGATCACTAATGTCAACCCAGTGAATTAAGTCGCGTCTTGAAGAAACTTGTTTGCTTCCCTCGGTTTTAGCGCAAAACAAAACATTTAAGCGTTCACAAATAAAAGTTACGGGAAAATATAAAAAATGTTTAGCCTAGGCGAAATACACAATATCTTTATTTAGATTTAATATATGTACCAACTAATGTTCATAATAAAGTTAAAAAATAGGATTAAAGTACCATCTGATGTTCGTTAGCTTATTCGACTTTTCTTACTTAAATTTAATTTTCCGCGTAGCCAAGCAAGTTATTTTTTTATTATTCACAATAAAAATAAAAATCACCTCTATCAAACTCTGCTGAACAAAATGAAACTAAAAAAAATTTTATCGTTACGACAAAGAACTTTTTATGGCATGCGAAATTCAATTTATGGTCTCGTGCAAATGCCATATAACTTAAGATAAGTAAATCTATCACGATAATTAAATAACGAGTGAAGGCTTTCATTTTTTCTTTCAATTTGATAAATTTAATTGTATAAAAAATATAGAAGGAGATAAAATAGTGTAGAACACTTTTTGAACAGCCGAACATTTTTTTTGAGCATCACATATATTATTTTTTAGACATTCATGTTTAATTTATCGAAAAATCACAAATAACGCTTACGAATTATATGAAGGATATATAGAAATTTACTGCATCTTCGGGCAATAGTTAACGAACAAACAGCAACTAGATCTCTCACGTATTTCAGTTATTCTGACATGGATAGCTGTCCAAAAAAGAAAAAAAAACAATTCCCCTTGGGAAGGGGATTTTTGTTTTTACAGTAAAACCGAGATACAAAACAACGAATAGTGATGTTCAGATATACCAAAGTCCCAATGGTGCTGCTACTGATACTCTAGATGCTTAATGCCTGGTATCATGTTGGAACATACTCGTAGAATATTCCAAGGATACCAGATGAGAGCTGAAAACCTAGTTGCTGACTACGTGCCTCAATAAATCTCTTATCCACTGAAATTTTTACTTTACTGTTTCTGCTCATATGAACTCAACCTTTTTTTGACAACTCAAATCGCTTTTTTTCACTATAAAAGTTTCACCTTTTTTTGCTTTTTTTGACATATGAAGCGTATTAATAGTTAATACTCAATACGTACTAAGTATGGATAGAGAATGACAAATACGGTTATAGAAAATCCGTAAATATGTTTCCCTCTTGAAGGAAAATCAATAGTGGAGAAATTAAAAAGAAAAATGATAATCAAAGGTCAATTCAACAATTCACTATCGATTCAGTGGAAAACATACTGTGATTTTCTCGGTGAATTGCTAATAATTCTGAAAAATAGGTCAATTAAATCACGTTTCTTCAATTAATATCTGATACTAAAACAATGATCGGAAATTCAATTAATTAATAGTTTGTAACACTAATAAGGAAACGGTTGATAAATTTTAATATTAATTGATTAATAATAATAAAATGTTAAAATCACTTACACAAAGTGAGCTTTTGATGTAACTACAGTGACTTGAGAAAGCTCATTGTAGATGCAAATTGAATTAATTTAACCTTGAAGCACTGGCTAACGATTTATACCTACATTATAACTATTTTAAGTGATAAAGGACTTACGTATTATGAGCCCGCAGCAAACGTACTAACAATAAAGTTTTCTATGTGCCAAAGTAACTTTAGTCTAGAAGCTGATCAAATTTACACACCTACATGTATGTATGAGTATCTATACTGAAAGGACCCTTTAAAATGGATTATCATGCCAGGGTTGTTAACAAGTTTTCACGAACTTAATACTCTCGAGCCGTAAAACTTCGGGATCAATGAAATACTTATGAGTTTATTTTATTTAACTGAGAATCACTAATATGTTAATGACTATTGGAAAGATAAAAGCATACTCGACTAAAATAATTCTCTAATTATCGTGCATTTTCAATCCTCCTTCACTTGATTTACCACCGAAGTGAACCATATAACCGATATATTTATTATATCATGTGAGTTGGAATTGGTAGTTTGTCGACCCATAGAAATTGATTGTCGTAATTAACAACTTTGTTAACGATTCAGTGATTCAATAAACATAATTTACATTATTCATTGTAAGCGAGAAAGCATTTAATATTCACGGCAAGTGAAAATCTTTCAATTTAATTGTATCAGTATTTATTCAAATGAATTATAATTATTGATATTATTATTATCGGCTGATTCTATTGCTTAAAAATGCATTCCATTGCTTAATTATTTACTAAACTGAGAAACAATGACATTAATTTTGAAGGATCATTGTTAAGTTACTTTTGTTGTGATAGAAAATGGTTTGTTATGCCAACTACTAGTCCGTAAATATGACAAAATCGTCTGAAGATTTAAATTTACAACTCCAGTAAATTAAAACATTCAAATCAGCCTACTAGAGCTTTCGGCCGATGCCAAAACCACGACTCCGAGGCAATAGGGGCTCAGCAGTGATAACATAAAATGTTAAACATTTTCGCAGGAAGTGATGCTAATTTATCACCAAAAATCTGAATTTGAACTTCCAACTCAAGCTGAAATAAATGTTAGACAGGGATCGATTTTAATTTTCTTTGTTGCGAAATTACACACCGGAATTTTTCATGAAAAAAAAAAAAAAAAAAAAAAAAAAATGAAATTTGATGAAATTTTCAGCTCTGTAATACTTTTAAATTAACTATACAATTCATCTTTCTACAATTGGCGCTTGTTCGCTCTTGAGCTGGCCTCTGGATTTTTATTATTAAACTTTTTTTTATTATATTATCCTGACAGTTATATAAGTCATTTTTTTATTGGACATTCTGCTTAGTTTTTTTTATACAATTCCCTCTGCTGTTTTCATATATATATTTTTTTATATTTTATGAGATTACTTCTCGAGTGTAGAAAGAAAAATAGTACAATAGAAATGATGCTTTCTGACATAAATCTCATTCCTTGCTAGAGAGATAAGGTGTACTAAGACAGATACTTGTTGTGTTAACTCTCCATGTCGCTTTTAGTACGACGAACAGCTTTAGACACCACCAACTTCGACGGGAAACTCATTTCATAATAATGCATCGTACATAATCATGCAGACAGGAACTTATTTATCAACAACAAAAATAGTTTACCAGTCTACCTCTAAATAAATAAATTATATTTATTCATAAATTTAAAAAGACAGAATATTTATTATTGAACTTGAGTTTCATGCATCAAGAATTAATTATCGGATATCAATAAACGATATAGGTACTATCAATAACTCTAAATTAAAATCGGCTGACCGTATACAACTATTGTGACACATTTCGGTTGAATGAAGATTCAAGGTCTGCTTTTTTGGTTGTTTGAAAAAAAATCAATACACAAAAGAAAGATTCTAAGCTTTACGATACATTAATTAGTAAAAACTAACTCTTTTAAATTCTTGTGTAAAAATTTTATTAATAAAGAAAACTTTTTCTTTCAACGTTATAAAATAATCATCTTCATTCTTTATAAAAGACTATTTAAAAAATTTTTATAACCCATCAAAAGAAATAATCTCGCACTCTCCCAAATGAAAATCTTAATAAAACACAGCATCAGTTATAGGTACAGTGCTTTTAATTCCTCGTCTTAACGATAATTAAACGTAAACTTTAGACTTGCTAGTAAAATAGCAGAAACTCATTACACACTATTCTGTAAATTTCAGTGTTCAATTACTCACCGGTTCCAACTAGTAACCGAAGCTATTTCGTGGGACATTTATCGAAGTTGTAGGTATCCCTCACTCTGTTTCCCCTCATATATACGTCTTCCACGTACACATACATCTCTCTTTAGGTTCGTACTCTTAACAGTAGCATATATATGCCCGTGACTGTCACGTGAAATGAATGGGATATATCAACGTCTGTGGCGGGTAAAAGCCATCTAAGGCTGCTGGAGATGTCTCGAAGACATCCAAACAAGTAAACTTAACAGTGAAACAACATCAGGACCAACTACCTGCCGAGAAAGTCCGGGAATAGAACCGACGTTCAAATAAGCTAGAGCCAAGTAAAAGGAGACTCGGCTCCAGATATTGCTACCACCAATATGGCTTTCAAGTTCTATGCTGAATGTCCGAAAATAACGCTCAAACATATATAAATATACATGTATGGATATAAATGTATTATCCTATCCGGTAGACTGGCATGAGATAGGGTGGGCAGAGAATCTGGGGTTACGACTAAACACCAGATCGATGTCCCGGATGTCTGGTGGAGTGTGTACTCGGTGGTGTTACGCACGAAAGCTCCAATGAAGGAACAGAGAGTGGATCTCACTGACCTACCTCTGAGATATCGACCCTCACTTCTGTTCTCTCCTTACACATTATTACTCTCTTATATATGTCTACGGACGTATGGATGTGGTGTTCAGTATATATACTGATGTATATAATACATAGAGCAACCCAACCACCGCTAACCCACAGACCCTTAACGCTATACTCTTGTGAATGTACACAAAAACTTTCTCCCGGATGGTTAAACTCGATAAGAAGCTACGTGATAGTATATGTCGTTATTAGAGTTTATCAGCTTCGTTACAATCCCCTTTGACATAGGTAATATATGTTACACTCCAATATCTATTACATGTCATTGATTACTCCTTTTTGTACCATCATTATATCTTATTATTAATTTACTATTTTGAGATGAAAATTAGATCAAGTATTAATAAAAAATATATTGTGATTACAGATGGCAATGAGTGATAATTCGTTTGTGGTTGAAGTACAGCCTAAATACTTGAAGGACGATGTGGATATTAATACTGGGTCTATTGATGATATTACGGGGAGAGTTACTGATCAGCAAGCTCTGGTTCATCGAGAAGAAATCCCTGAGGATCGTTCTTTAGGTAAATATAATAATTGATCGTTAAAAAATTTTAATTATGATTTTGCTCGTTGGAATTGAATTTTCTGCCCTCCGGCCGGAAAGTGGCAACTTTCTGGCCGCTGCGCTAAACAAAGTTGCCACATTCCGGCTACGTCGAGCAGAAAAATAGTATACACACCTTGGCCAGTAAAAAGTAAAGCCTCAGACCACATGTTTGTCAACCTCGGCTTCGCCTCGGCCAACAATTACATGTGGTCTGAGACTTTTCTTATTTTACTGGCCTAGGTATGTAATATATTATTTTTAAAAAGAAAAAATGTTTAAGGTTTCTAATTAATTTACTTGAATGAAGAACTTCCGCAGCTTTGTACGGTTTCTTATATAAAAGTTTTTCACTGATAACTTTGAAAAATATTAAACCTTATAAAATTGGAGTATTATTAATTTATACCTAAAAAAATGAATTTATATGAAGTAATATTATTATTATTATTATTATTATTATTATTATTATTATTATTATTATTATTATTATTATTATTAGTAATTGAAGTTTCTATTACCCGTGTAAAAATGATATGATATCATTATGAGGCTCATAATGAATATCATAATGAATCTCAATATTTTGGCACTTAATATGAGATTCATATAAGAGTCATATCAATACTTTAGAAACCCGTAATAAGTAAAATACCTGTGGGAACGAATTTTTTTTCAGTAGATCAGTAAAAATTTCATTTTTTCTGTTAATCAGAGGAAATGTATAATAATTGAGAAAAACAGTATTTTTATCATGCACTATACTGTTGAACTACTTAACTTTTCTCCTATTATTATTATTATTATTATTATTATTATTATTATTATTATTATTATTATTATTATTATTATTAGTAATTGAAGTTTCTATTACCCGTGTAAAAATGATATGATATCATTATGAGGCTCATAATGAATATCATAATGAATCTCATATTTTGGCACTAATATGAGATTCATATAAGAGTCATATCAATACTTTAGAAACCCGTAAATAGTAAAATACCTGTGGGAACGAATTTTTTTTCAGTAGATCAGTAAAAATTTCATTTTTTCTGTTAATCAGAGGAAATATATAATAATTGAGAAAAATAGTATTTTTATCATGCACTATATTGTTGAACTACTTAAATTTTTTCCTTGTCTTTCATAACTTAGAAGAATATTTAGAAAAACACTATCTTGGACACAGAATATTTAGAAAAACACTAATTTTAAAAAAAATTTTTGACTGAAAAAATTTTTTCGTCTCAAGATAATTATTTTCTTATTTTGAAAACAATTTAAATCCTCCTAAAAATTTCTTTAATTTAATTATTTTGCAATATTTCCTGTATACAGTTATGACTCAATAATTTTATATCACGATTTAAAAAGACTAACAATATCATTATGATATCATTATGATTTCATAATGAAATTATGTCAATATCATCATGGAGATACTGTCCTAATGAATTTCCAACAGTTACAAAAAAGTTTTTTTCTTGAATTATGAATCGAAGGCAACGATATCATTACAATATTACGATGAATTTAAAAAAATATCAGCCTGATTCCATCATAAGTTTACGCAGTTACTATTATGACTTCAGTATGAAATTATGCGTTTGTCACTATGGATTTGTCACGAATCTCCATAATACCGATCCGTGTGGATCAAATTTTATATTTAATAATAATTTTAAATTACTGGAAATTTGCTTTCTCCAACAAGAAAAATAAAAATTTTATAATCTAGTTAAAAAAATTCGTTTCCATAAGTATTTTACTTAATAAAGGTTTCAAATATATTAATATGGCTTTTATATGAATCTCATATTAGTGCCAAAATATGAGATTCATTATGATATTCATTATGAGCCTCATAATGATATCATATCATTTTTACACGGGTAAGAAGCCTTGAAAAATTAAATTTTCTTCAATTTGATTATAAAAATGAAACTGTATCTTTGATAAATAAAAAATTTACAAGCATAAAACATGAAATAAAATATCAATAATTTAATCAAAGTTTAAAATTTTCTAAGGTTGTTTTTAATTAGTTCAAAACATTATTTAGTAATTAATGTAATTTATTTGTTAAATGTCTCATTATTTTTGGCTGGATGTAATGTCGATAATAACAAGTTTGCAAAGTAATAGCAATAATAATAATACTAATGATAATTTAAATTTCAGAGTTCAATACAACAAAGTTATTTGGTAGTATCAACACAGGATTATCTCAATCGGATCTCTCAATAGCCAGTCGTGGCTCGGTAAACCACAGTTACCGCTATGGGAATCAAATGGAGTACGATGCTGCCCAGTTAGGATATATGTATGAAGGCAGTAATTACATGAATGACCTCGTGTCTCGGGACTTAGAAGGCGTATCCAAGTGGGTGGAATTCGATAAATCACCTGACACCGAGAAAACACTCTTAAACGAGTGCGACAACTCGAACCTGGACAAAGACAACAATGAATACGTGAGTACAATGAGTATTCAATGTCCTTAACCCTCAGTTTATTTACTCCCATTGAATTATAATTATGCGCATCAAGTGAACAAAGTAATAATATTAATATTAATATTATTTTTTTTTTTTTCAGAAAAAATTAAACAATCTCGACAGTTCGTTAGACTCGAATTCATCTCTGGAGCATCAAGATTCAACAGACGCGAGTAATTCAACTGACACCGTCAGATCAAATCCAAATTTGCAAGTTAACGGTGCCACTCCAAATAAACTCGAGAGTATGGAGCGTAAAAGTTTGATCGGAGATTATGATAAACTCGAGCACAGCCACCAGACTTGTAATAACACCAAGCCAATAATCACCGGGGCGCTTTTCAAAGATGATATGCACGAGGATATTAAATTATCAGTAAATGATAATAATATTAATAACAAATTTGGTAACGGTACTCTATTATCCCCTTCAGAGTTGAATAAAAATTTAAAAACGGTCTGCGGTGACCAGAAACCCGAGGGCAGTGTTTTCGTGCCCTGTCATAAACGTACCAACAGCATTCCACCCCGACTCATCGAGGACACCCTCGATATCGATCGCAAGAAAGGTATCGACATATACAGTCAAATAAAGACTAGTATACTCCCGGGTTTAACTCCCAAGTTTGAATTATTACAAAATGAAGTTAGTCCAATTGACGAGAAAGAAAGTTAATCCCTGATAAAAATGAGGGATTTTTATAGTAATCGTTGCATTCATAAGTATTAGTAATAAGTAAAAATAATAATAACTATTTACAATATTAATTATAGGGATAATAAGAGTAATAATAGTAATACATAAAATATCCAACGAACGATAACAGAAATTTGTATTATAAATATTTGACACAGAAATGTGTTGGAATAATTTTAAAAATGAGTTATACAATTTTATGATTAATCACACGCGGGGTTATTTTATTATTTTATATTTTTGTTTTTATTATATATATTTTATCGGTAAGGATGGAAAAGGAAGTGAAGTTTGTAAGTTTGAAATAAGAAATTTATTGTTTCAGAGATAAGAATTTTTTAAGAGCATGACTATTTGATAAATCAGGGCAAAGTTATCGGAGAACAAGACAAAGACGCATTGGTTTGAGGTGTATATGTGAGAATATACGGTGTCAGACGAATTCCGGTGGATCGATGAGGAATTCATTGATAATGGGACTGTGAAAGACACGAAAGAAAGGCTGTCGGATTTTTCCTATCGTGGGGACAAATTGGCTAAATCTGAGGAAAAAACGATTTGAATTGTGTGAAAGATACGAGCGAAACCACGACTAGTGCCGTCTACATCTGACGATTCTTTCGTTCTCGTTTTGGATTTTTTGGAGGTTACTTTTTTCAGCCCCATCTCTTGTCTACTAGTGAGAACGTGAGTTCAGAGATTCAAGAGTTGGATGAATAAAATCCGGGAGAATGAACTGCATGAACCGACGTCAAGGCTGAGAACAATCGAGACTAACGAACTCGTTGTACGTTCTCGTGATCGTCGTAGTCGTCACAGACTCACTCGTAGCCTACTCATAGATCCTTCCAACGTTATACAACTCTCGTTTTGCCGTGCCATAGCGTTAATTTTGTTCTCATGGACATTGTGAGTGAGCACAAGGGCTTGGGAATTATAACAGGCACTATGATGAGTGTATGAATACAGATTTACAGTCATAGAGACTGATGGTGTCATAGTCTGTGCTATTCAATTGCTACCAGACTCATTTCTTTTTGTTGTATTTATATCATTACCCGAATTCTCTTGTATCCAATCAAATAATTAATTATTTATTCATTTAAAATGGAACAATCTTCAGCGTAATTTGCTTTTTAAGTTTTAAGTGACTACAGTTTTGATCTCTTCAATTTTTATTTTAATATTTATGGAAAGTAAAAATCAAATTTTTCTTACCAAATAATTTTCAGTTTTTAATTTTTACATTAAGTATAAAACTGAATTTTTGAACTGAACTAAAATACGCCAATTAATAACAGAAAAAAGTCTTTATTTACCGTCAGTATCTTATTTATCCTCAATTTGCTAAATATTCTGTAAAAATTATCCAAACATTGTAAAAAAAAATAAACCGCTACGAGAAATGACTAACTAAACTTGTACGAGACGAGTGAGTTTATGATAATAATATTATTGAGTTGATGTGTATATTTTTTGTGTAAGATTTAAAACGAAAATATCGAAAAAAGTTCATTTAAATATTTATTGTGGTTGTGATAAAAAAAAAAAAAAGAAATTATGTTAATTAAATTATTCAACTCTGATAAGAGTGAAAGAAAATATTAAAATGTTGTAATCGTGTGTCATGATTTGATATGCGTAATTTTTTAAACTTTAATATTAACCTTAATTATAATTATAATTATCATTATCATTGTGAATTTGAGGTAGATTTGTAATTTAGTTATAGATAAATCACTTATACTAATTAAGTATTATGTGCCATACTCACTAAATATTAAAAATATTTCAATTGTAAAATTAATTTTTGGTGTACAAAAAAGTGTGTACATGCTCAGAGTATATGAAAAAAAATATATATATTACGATGCAGTATTATTAAAAAAAGAACTAGAATATGTTTGTCATAGTTTTCGTCATCTGCAAGTTCAATATTCATGAACGTGCAAATTTTCGGGACTGATTTTTTTTAGTAGAAAATAATAAAAAATATAAAGTCTTTAATTTATTTTTAATCGGAGCTATAGATCACTTCACGTGGATTCTAGTGCCAAAATAGTTTCTTGAGTATTGAATAACTATTATATTAATATTAATACTACTACTACTACTAATAATAATATTAATAATAAATAAAAAAAGAAATATTATTGTAATTGAATGTTTGCAGCTCGATATTTATATCTCTGTTTTATGTATGTAATAAACTACGTTATGAAATTCAAATTTTATATGCTTCTGTTGTATATTATTGTACATTACAAACATATTATTATCGTTGTTAAATGACTAATTGCTTGTGTGACGGTTAATGTTTGTAATTACTTTACCAGCTCATACTCTGACGTACGTATTTTTGTCAAATGTGCGTCTATTTTTTCAACCACTTTTCAATTCTATTAAATTTTTTTTGACATTATACATTAGCATAAATTTTAAGAACTAAATACATCTGTGTATAGTCACTTTACTCGATAGTGTCGTCGTAAATATATTGAAAAGTATAAAGTATTAATAAATACTATAAGATTTCCGTAGACGTGAATAGAAAATCTTTCTTAATAAACGATAAAATTTTTATTTACTCTTCATTTTTTAGTAAATTTTTACGACACATTTTAATGTCATATAGAGTTAAATTAATAGACAGCGTCACTATTATCGTTTATTTGTTCCTTAATATTTATAAATAAATATATAAATCAATAAGTAATGAAATTTTGCATAATTAATTATATTTTAGCCTTATGTAAAATTAATCATATAGAGTTAGGGCGTTTAAAATAAGAGAATGCTAATTATAAAGATTTTATATAAAATTCTACATCTCGTGTATTTTTAAGGCTTATTATTGTATAAGTGTATTTATTAAATATTAATTATAATTATATAAAATATTATAAAGTGATTATTAATATTATAGCTCAATGGAATCATAAAATGTAATTATTATTAATAATAAAACAAATTATTCTTTCTTTATATTATAAATAATATATATGTTAAATAAATAACTGATGCTGAATATTAGTATTTTTTATCCTGATTTATTCGACAATTTGTTTTTAAGCTTGACATTTAAATTGCTTGAGCTGAAATAATAATGTGCATCAAATTTACGTTACTTTGAAGTTCTTAGTGAACTTGGATCAAATCGGATGGACTTTAGAAATTTTATCAAACAAATTTATAAATATTAAAAAACTTAAAATCAAAAGGAAACATTTACATTTTCTAGAATAAGATGTTAATTGAATCTGTTTTACTTCTTCCATCTCGAAAATCAACAAAGGTCTTACGAAGACATCTTAACCATATTTTCTTGTCCTTTAATTTTTCAAGTATATACACAATTTTAATGGAAATAAATTTTAATGCATAACTTTATTTGTACAAAGAGGTCGGACTGAATTTAAAATATTTTTATTCGAACGATAGACTTCACTTCAATTAGTTTCTTACAAAATATAATTCTTCAGTAAAGTTCAAAAATAAAATAAAGTATAACGTACCAGCTTATTTCTTCACAGAAATTTCAAAGTTAATTTTAAAATGTTAATCTATATAATTAGTCAAATTAACACAAAGAGTGACTGATAATAAACTCAACTTGTTCAAATATTTTAGAAATAAAAACGAAAAGATTTAACTTAAATCAAATGTTGTAACCCGTGAAGTTGGGGCCATTGACTTTTACTGCGGTTGGTTAATTACTTCTCATAATTAATCAATTGTTAAATTCTTGTGACATTAGTATTATGCCGTCATTACTTAAATAATTTAATCAACTATAAAAGTTTTAAATTATTATGCAAGCAATCATTTTTTATAATAAAACCAAAATCAATATTTCATGAACAAATAAATGACAGGAAGATATAATTGCAACGACAGATAATTAGTAACTGTTGGTAACCACCTTGAAGGTTTCTGTTTCACCCTCTGAAAAAGCTTTCATCCGTCGGAACATATCCTGAGCTTTACTACTGGTTCGAGGGTAGCTTGCAAGGGTGAAAAAATTATCATTTACCGCCACCTGTCTCTGGAACATCGCACTACAGATAACAAAATAACGAGTGTATTAAATCGTGGCGCGCCGCCAACACTAAAATACAAAACGAATCGCGACTCATCGAATTATACATGCGCGTTTTTAATTCTATAATCAATAGTAAAAAGCTCTCATAATACACATCCCTTCCAATCTACTTTCCTTTTTATAGACATTTTAATACACACTACAAACTAACCCTTTTAGCTTTAAATCTTTCTTAATTTTTGGATTGAAATTTCCAGCGTAAAATTCTGCGAATTTTTAGTTACACGTTTCATTCAAATTTACAGATACAGATTAATTGAATGAATTAAAATATATTTTGAATCATAACAAGCAAACGATTGAGTTCACCGCATTGCGGAAGATATTACCCAGTTGCTTCACGTCCAATCACTAATTTAACGAATCGCTCAAGTAAAAAAACTCTCAAAACCACCGAAAATAACTTGGTCGCCTAAAAAATTCAATGGTTCGAAAATAATGTCAATATAAATCCAGTTTCGAAGTAATTAATTAAAGCCTGTGATTTTAAACATAAAATAAAAAGAAAAGCAAAATAAAGCAAAAAAAAAACAGCAGTGACATTTGATCAACGATTAGTGAAGATTTAATTGGACAGTCTGCACTGGTAATATCATGAGGGGGGGGGGGGTGCCAAAAGTGCCTACCAGCTCGTTCATTCGTTTAGGGGTTGCGGATAGCGCTGGGTTTTACAACACAGTAGGGCAAAGTGGGCGTCGATGCCTACACACTACATATAGAGATACAACATTATGAAAACACGAATGTACTCTTTTAAATCAATACCATAGCATTGTAGAATGGCGTTGTAGGGGTGGTTATATCGCTGAGTAGTAACGGTAGCAGTAGCTGAGTACAACTCCCCCATTACTCCCCCGTTTGAACCGTAAATATGCGG